CACACACAACAGAGACACACACCACACACACAGAGACACACTACACACAACACACAGAGACACACACACACACACACACAGAGACACCACACAGAGACACCACCACACACACACACAGAGACACACACAGAGACCACAGACAGACACAGACAGACACACAGACAATCAAGACACAAATGTTGAATCATGCACATAAACACACCAAATCACAAGAGAGAGACTGAACTGATAAGCACCTTAACAGTAATGTAACAACCATGACATGCACACAAAAATCAAACCACAATTGACACTCCATAATTAAGTGCAGACAGTTCCTGTAAGTGTCCCAGGGTTGAATCCAAAGCTTCACACACCTTACACAGAGAGAACATAAAAAATATTATTCGATAATAGCTCCAGAGAGGGGGGTACACAGCCATGTATCAACCTCAAGTTGTTGTGTCATGTTCGGATACGGGAGTGAGTTTTATGTTTGTAGCGTGAGACTGTTCTCACTCTGCTTTATCTCTAGGCGGAAAAAAAGCACCTTGGTAATAGAGCATCACATGTGTGAGGTGTCGGTAGGGCAGAGAGCCTCTGTTCTTTATCTTCCTGGCATCCACAATTACCACATACTTTCAGAGTATGTAAACACTATTTCCTCTGCTGCTGGCCACTCGGTGTATAAATCTCATTCACTCTCATTGTCATCCGTCCGCTTCGTGCGCTGTCTCCTCGTTCGTCGGGATCTGCGTATCTTTCTGTATCTCTAAGGAATCACTATGTTTTTCCTTTGCCTTTTTGCTTCAATTTATCTATTTGAATATTCTGGTATGTGCTGAGTGTATGTTTTATTTTGATTACTTGCTTGATCTAATTACCATCATATGATGTTAAACAAAAACGGATCCAATACCAAGTTTATAGTTTCTCAAAGGGGAGGCAAACTCAATACACTCACAAGAAAGTAACTTAGAAGTTTACCCCTAAGAACGTTGTAAGTTCACTGAGACTGACACCGAAATCTGTCTATGCACCAAACACGCAAGTTATTCTCCTTCTTCATACAACGTGATCTCGTCACCTCACTTGTTTATGTTGGTACCCTATTTTGCGCTTCTCTTAAATAAACTTCTCAAAAACAGGGCTCCGTTCCCAAAAGTTCCCCAATGTCAGCGGCCTATATTACCTAGCTGAGAGTAGGATTATGCTTAACTATTTTCCGAATACGTGCTGGTATTAATTACATCTTCTCAGAAATGTTTTCTCTGCTTGACTTTCAAAAAGAGACCCAGAACATATGAGTAGTTAACTATTAGATATTGTCCGAATATGGTCTGAAGGTGGCTAAGGATGTTTATTCTTGGCTATTTCGTAGAAGAAGCATCATTGGATGATTCAAACCTTCCAGCCAATGGAAAATACCTGAATTACATTGCTTATTCATTCAGATATTGTTTTTGATCAATAGCAGACTGACATCACAAAACACCTACCGCAAGTATAAGTCACACTCTGCACATAAAAATTAAACATTTTAGCTTTAGTTCTATATATGCAATTTAATATTTTTTATTATTCACACATACTGTAAATATCCTGACAAGTCCAAACATCTTATAATCACTGACCTTCATCCATTTTCATCATCTTATATAGCTATTAATATCTATTTTACATACATTTCTAACACACAATGAGAGACCTCCCATTTTGAGTGTTGCGCCTCCGCTCCAGTCATACACTTTATCCATGCTACAATCAGTAATTCAAAAATGATCAATTCCTATGTTTAGAGAACCCATTGACGCATTACCTTCATTGTATACTCCCTATATTGAGTGCCCTTTCTACCTTTTACTCCTTAATTTGCATCGGCATGCACACTGCCATACCAAGTTGATCTGACTTACAAACTGTGCCCCGCTCTGCCACTCAGTTAAAGATGGCTGCTGCTAGTTCGGCATCTCCTCTGAACATTATTTATTTCATTTGGGTGTTGCTTTAAAATTACAATACTGATGATGCCAGACTGATGCAAGAGCAAAGACCAATAGGAAAGAGAAACCAGACGGAGACTGTGTGAGGGTTTAGAGTGTGTGCATGTGGATAGGTGCAGCCTTATGTATTGAAAAAGGGTGTGAGCACTAATGATTCTTTCTGTGAGTTCAAGAGCAAGCAAGTAACACTAGGAAAAACTCTCAGGCATCAGATGGTAGTATCAGTCGGTCATGGCAGCCTCCAGAAAGTCAAAATGAGTTAGTAGGCACCTTCCAGAAAAACACTTAATGTGGTTTCTTCGCACATGCAGCTTGCATGATCACCCATGTCTGTCTCAGCCCTTTGCTGTGTCCGCGTGCCTAAGAGAGCAACAGTCTCGCCAATCGACAACATCGAAGCCAGACACACACATCCAATTTTTATTGAAATTCTAAGAAGGTCATACGCAACCTCGAATGCCGTGATTCTGTCCATCTGTTACGTCTCTTGCCAAGCCCTGTCAGCCTCCTCTATTGGTGAGAGACTGCAGTTCACCAATACGCCCTCCTCCCTCTGCCTCAGGAGAGGATACTCTGTAGTGCCTCAGTCCCACAGCTGTCATCTCATAGGCCTTGAGACAAGATCCTCTTTGAGAAAAGAGCGACAGGTGGTATGAGCGCGAGAACATGCGCGCGCGCGAAATTGATATCCATGAGCTTTGTTTATACTATCAGATGCGCGAGTACCATCCCCTTATTAATCGAGAACAATCACCTGTTGTGCGCGCCAAGATTCCGCTGATTGTAGGAAACTTTAAATGAGGAACTGGATATAAAGACATATGACCCCAATTTATAGCACATCCAGATAAACTTATTCCACCTCTGACCCTCCACCACCCTCACCTACTTACCCTTTCGCATGTTAATTCCATTAAGTTGACACAACACCCATACTGCGCATATGTTTGAGAACAACCATATCCTCCATAAAGTGTATTCTTCACCTAAAGTATCGACACTCCGATCAAGATCCCTAATTCTTGAGCTTCAACCCATGTACATGTCTTGTCAAATTTAGTTTGTGCAAATATTTACTCATTTAAATATGCACCACCATTAGCAACACAACATAAATATAAAAGCTTAAAGCGACGTGACACAGCTCCCTCTAAAGGAAATGGTTAAGTGAATAATCAGCACCGCGCCTAAATAATTATCTACGCAAGAAGCCAACTGACATGTGAAATGTAGACCCCTGCGTGAGACACTGAGTCATCTATCACTATTTATCCTACTATCTTGTATCTATCTATCTACTACTCATATCTATCTATCTATATCTACTATCCCTGATTGGCTGTCCTTTATCGTCCAACTTAAAACGCAGACAGGTCGCGCTAACTGCCCTACTTCCCGCGCGAGCTCGGCACATCACCGGAGCTGCTGCTGTCGGCCGACCGCGCCGCCAACTCTCGCTCTCTCTCTTCTCTCCGTCTTCCCTGCGCGCATTCCTCCACTCCGCCGTCACCTCTTCGCCCGACCCCCGAGCGACGACCCGACCGGAGCACAAAGCCACGGGGGCGACGGTCGAGAGTACCAGTAGGAGATTGGGCACGAATGATGAGCGGACCGTTTAGTGGCAGACGACAAAACCGCTGTCGCAGAACGAAAAAAAGAAACAAAAACAAACCAACCCCACAATCCCCCAACAAAAAACACCAAACCCACACCCACCCACACCACAAAAAACAACACCAACAAACACTACCGTCAAACAAGTAGGCCGACACATCAGCATCGCCCAACCAAGCAGGAGCCTGGTGTTTTAATCAAAGCCTACACAAGGTAATCAACCACACCAAACAAAGCAACAACGATAGACATTGAAAAAAACCACAAAACAGCCTCAAGCAAGAATGGTCACTGAATTGACTAGAAAACTAAATAAAAATACATTTCAGTTCTTAACACTGATACAGACCAGATGAAGGATATCTACAATAAGAGAATGAGATTCATAAGATTTATCCATCAGAGGTTATTGTATATGCACACAGAATTATAACAACCAAATCTCATACAGCACACCGAGCCACCCAAAATAATGCGTAGTCAACAAAAGCCAAACAGCCAACGATAAATAACACACCCTAAACAACCACACCACCACCAACACCCACGCCACGGCTCTCCCCCACCGCTCACACCTCCACTCTCCCCATTTCAACTAATCTTGTACATAAGAAATAAATCAGAGCTGAAATCCATAAGCCAAAAACCTCAACACAATTTTACAAAAATACACATAGAAACCACAGTTGAGAGCACCCTTACCCCACCCCTCTTTTAGGTCTTACGTCCGATATCCTCACAACCCCTAAAACACATACAAATTACAGAAACTGCCCTCACCAGTACAGCCCACGCACCAACATATCAGTATGCAAGCCAACCATAATACTATCATACAGAGACAACGGAACTCCGCTCGCACGTCCTCCCCCAACAGCAGCCACACACACACACACACCCTCCTCTCCAGTGCCCCTTTTCCACTGCTGGCACAAGACAAGCAAAGCTGCCGCCACGCCAATCACTGAACATAAACAGGGGTGACAAAATTCCTCCCTCCGTGTCTACAGGCCTTTGGTCTTCCAATAACAATCTCCCTCTTCACACACAGAGACACAGACAGACACAGACAGACACAGACACACAGACAGACACAGACACAAATGTTGAATCATGCACATAAACACACAAATCAGAGAGAGATGACTGATAGCACTTACAGTAATGTACAAATGAACATGCACACACAAATACACATCCACATGTACTATATAAGTGCAGACAGTTCCTGTAAGTGTCAGTGTTGAATTTCAGTTCTATAATATTGAGTGGTAGCAGGGAGTTACATTCACTATAATAAGAAATAATGGCTGGAGAATCCTCTGCTGGCCAATAAATCTCATTCACTCTCATTGTTCATCCGTCTCGCTTCCTCCCTCAGTGCTGCTACTCAGTTCAAGGACCTCTGCTACTTAATGAACTTTGATCAATCCACATAAACAAAAAACGGACACATAGTTAAAGGCAAACACAAAGTAAGTCCTAGAGTTCACTTACCAAGGATCTGCACCTCAATGTGTCTTGGCTTTTCAATAAACTTCTCAACAAACAGGGCTCCGTTCCCAAAAGCCGTCAGGGCCTCAGAGTAGGCCCGCTGGTAATTCTCCTCAAGTTCCTGACAAACAGACAAGAAAAATCCATATGTGTCTGAGTTAGTGCTGCTATTCAAGAAGCAAGAGAGTCACCGCAAAGGATTTGTGTGGTTTTTCAAGGAGTTTTGGTGTTGCACAGACTATATTTCAACATCGTATAATCTCTGCATCAGGTCAGTTAGTTGTATTGTTATTTCCTAATGGAATCCATTTTATTTCCCTTCCCAGTCATTCACACGTGATGTTTCGTTGTGTTTTTTCCCTCTCTTTTGACTAAATGTTTAAACGCCCTTAGGGAGCAAGATTCTTCACAACATCTCTGGGACCAGGCTGTGGGAGGTCACGACCGAGAATGCTAAAGGTCATGATTCAATCTGTGTTTGTCAGTCTGTTACGTCCTGCCAGCCCTGTCCAGCCTCCTCTATTGGGGAGAGACTGAGTCACCAATGACGCCCTCCTCCCTCTGCCTCAGGAGAGGATACTCGAGCCCATCCACAGCTGTCATCTCATAGCCTTGAGACAAGATCCTCTTTGAGACAAAACAACCAGGTGGTCAACGCAGTAGCAGACATCATCAGCATCGCCAAAAGCAGGCCTGTGTTTTTATCAAAGCGGTTTCAGAAAACAGCACAAGACTGACTTGAAAACAAAACTGTCAATGTCACTGATTGACTAGAAAACTTAAATAAAAACTACATTTCAGTTCTTACATCTGATCAGACCAGATGAAGGATACCAATAAGAATGAGATCATAAGATTTAGTGCCATCAGGGTTTGTTATGACAGATTAAAATTCTCATACAGAAGGCCTCAAAATGGTTTTAGTCAAAAAAAGCAGTCCAACTGTACATACCACCCTGACACACACACACACACACGCACACGCACGGCTCTATACATGTTCAACCTCCACTTCCATTTCAAAGTCATTGTAGATAAATAGAGCTGAAATATAAGCCAAAACATCAAACATTTTACAAAAATACACATAGAAAAGTTTGAGATTTACCATTTTTTAGCTTATGTGATAGTAAACTAAACACATTTGAACTGTTGAACAGACAGGCCATAGTTGCAGCCTACATCACGGGCGGCTGTGCACGTTCCAACAGGCAGCAAACACACACACACCCTCTCTCCAGTGCCCCTTTTACTGCTGGCACAGGAAGCAAAGCTGCCGCCAGGCCTCCACTGAAATAAACAGGGGTGACAACTTCCTGGTGTCTACAGGCCTTTGGGAGTTAATTTTCCCTTTGAGAGTTAATTTTCCCTTTGAGACACATATTTTGGATAAAATCATCCACTAAAAAGGATATTAAACTTCTCATCCCGGGGAAATTAAAAAGAATCTGTAGGTTTTATTTGACCATTAATAACGTACTTTTTTTTTTAATAAAAAAAACTAATAAATAAATCATAATTACCCTACAATTGAACCACGGCAAGTGAAATAGTATTATTGGCACTGCTTGGCCCACTTTTCAATAACTATCAACCGAGGTCAAGAGTGTTTTTCTTGGAGGTTAAAACTCTACATGCATTCTGAATTTTTCACAAGCATCTCCCAAAACACCACTTACAGTGAGTGAGCAGCTGTTGGCTGTCTGTGCTGAAAAGCCTTTTGAATATATTTTAAATACTCTATTAACCACACAGCATATTCAACATAGACGAAACAAACAGAATCACTGTATATACACACTATCACCACACTTTGTATAAGAGGCTACCCTATAAATAATGCATAACGTTTTCATAATGTACAGTTTGTTTTTTGTTTTGTGGACCTCATATACGTATTGTTGCATTATGATTATTCATTATTCCTTGGGTTCTTACTTGAAGTAAATGAGGGCGCAAATGTAGAGCAAGTCTGCAATCTAGAGGTGGCAGTTAGCACATGTCACTTACTCATAAAATTGTTATTCTTATAAAATACTTTAATTGGGAACCAGAAATTTCATAGCCAAGAAAAATACATAGAACAAGCAAAAAGTGGCATGTTGACCAGATAGGATTTCATATGAGCATAATATATGAGCATAATTTAACAGTTAACAAGGATTGTTTACTAGACGACAGAACATATATGACCCAAAAAGTCCAGTTTTAGCCTACACTTCTCTCCATCAGAGTGCTGTGCGGTCATCACTGTGACAGCTATTGTAACAGCCCATCATTGCTGTCTGGGTTATGGCACCCATACATTGCCGAGAGGAGGACGATGAGGATGGCTGTGACAGATTGGTAGATGTAAATCCGCCAAGGGATGCACAACACATAACTGGATGTGCCCTCAAACTAGGTATTGAAGACATTCCTTTAAGGAAAATATTTTTCCTGCCTACCGCTTCCTGCCTCCTGTTCTTATATATTTTTGTATGTAATTTGTATGTTAGGGTATTTTATCATTTAAAGATCTCTCTTGCAGGAAGCACGTGTACTGTAAAATGTTTATACTGAGATACGTATTTGAGAAGTGACAAATACAATATTGAAAGACATTATGTTATTAATGTTATTAAAGGCTCCAACACACAAGAATCACTCGAGGTGACAGGGGCAATTTCAGAGCACACACACCAAAACACACATGGTGATTGGCGGTCGTCGAGATAAATGACCAGGTTGTAATTTCCATGAGAAAATTAATGAATGTTAAAACCAAAATGTGTCATGAGGACGGCCGGCCTTCAAGTTGGGTTCGTTTTCTCTTTGCTGGACAACATTTATTTTGTTAGATTAAGCTGTTAAATTACATCTCTCACGGACGTGATCATGTAGAGCAGTGGCTGACAGACTCACCTCGTACTCTCTGACCACCCTCATGCCACGACCACCTCCTCCGAAGGCTGCTTTGAAGATGATTGGGAAGCCATATGTTTGGGAAAACACCTGCGCCTCTTGCAGGCAGGAGATTGGGGTGTCTGTTCCTGGGACCACAGGTACACCTAAAACAGGGCGCGGGTTGAGTAAGAAATGCTGTACTTCATAGAAAAAAAATCATTATATACTGCCAGGCACTTCTGACTTCACACAGCATTTGAGTCTCACAAGGTCAAATTTTGTTGTTACAGCAGAAGGGAACTGCTTTATGGCGCAAAATAGGAGGAAGACGCCGTTAACGCCACATAAATAGAGCTTAATTTTTCACAGTTTCTTGCAGTGACAGATGGGCTTAGAAGTTAAAGGCTGAAATATATGTTCTAAAAATGTTAATCACCCACAGTAAATACAAAATTAATGCTTGGAGAGAAAAGCCAAAGCAAATGCTAGCAGAGCAATGCCAGGGTGAAAGGTAGAGGGAGGAGGGGGAGTGAGTCATCATGACAACAAGCACCAGGGTTTATGGCGAATTTGGCTTAAATGTTGAGAAACACTTTCACCAATAATACTACAGGTAGATACAAACAATCTTGTTAGAGAGTAAAAATACTACACATATTATAGCAGGTATTATATTACGACCTCTCCTTTCTGGGAATATACTGTTCCTCACACTCATCTCCTTCCATACCTGCAGACGTGGCCAGGGAACGAGCCTCCACCTTGTCTCCCATCTTGCGGACTGTTTCAGGTGATGGTCCAATAAACATCACCCCTGCGTCTGCACAGGCCTGGGCAAAGTCTGACCGCTCAGAGAGGAAACCGTAGCCTGGGTGGATAGCATCCACATTGTTCTCCTAAGAAGTGAGACAGGGACAGATGGCGAAAAAAAGATTACTATATTTATGTGCATTCTATCTGTTGGCTTTGGCTTTTTACTGCTTTGAAACACATCACACCAAAATTAATTCAGTTGAGAAACAAATGTACCCACTATTAAGCATTTTTTAATAAAATTATTTGCCAGTGAAACCCAGAGAAAGGAAATGTAGCCCAGCTACGCAACGGGAGTTGTGTTAAATAGGGAGCCACTGTTGGGCCCCAGTTAACACTTGGCTGACTATCGGTGAGGGAAATAAAGAGTCATAACACACGCTAACCTGCATGCTTTACCACACACTGCCTGCTGGCGAGTGATAAAGATGTAAGCATCACTTACGGCAAAGGGACTCTGAGCTAATGACACATTTTATTCTCACTCCATCTTAGTTGCAATCACCTTAATCATCATCTACTCAATGGACATCAGTGGGGGACTGAGCGACTAGACAGGCGCATAATTTGAGGGTCAGGGGGAAGGTACTGAGAGCACACACGCATGCAAACACAAGGTAGCAGACAGATACAGTAGCTGCCGAGCTTGACAGATAGAGCCATCTCTGGATCAGTATGTGCCATCTGGTCTTGGATACGAGGCGGACTATAATTATGGGCTGTCCTGTTGTTAAGGGAGCTGTTACTGGCAGTCCAGGGGAGGCATGAAGCCACACACACAAAATGCAGCAAGTGGATGCACACAAGCAGGTACACCTCACAAAGCCATGAATGCAAAGAGACATGGGCAGCAGGTGATGATTCACACAGACACAGACACACACACACACACACACACACACAAGCTAACACAACGCCCCGCAGATACGCACATTCATACAAGCAAGATCACACGCTCATACTTTCACTGTTGCAAGCTCACACACACACACACTTTGGATGGTTATTTTGGTCACACAGTAACAGAGTGACACACAGTGTGAAGAAGAGGTAAACATACAGTGAATGTGAAAGAGTGAGAGCGGGAGAGAAAGAACACAGACACACACAAACTACTTTGCTGGCATGGAGTGGCTGGGCTCCCAGATAGGCAGACGGATTTTGAGAAATTAGTTGGACGGCGGAAGCTCCCTGACTTGGCTGGCTGACCACATGCCCACGCAGAAAATTATAAACCGTGAGAGATTGATCAGAAAAATGATAATGAACAACTGGCAGCGCGTCCTGAAGGGATGGAGGGAGGATGGGAGGGAAAGGAGGTAACACGGAACAGACCTGATCTAACATATTGATAAGTGGCGGAGGGTGGAGAAGGAGAGGGAGAGAGATTGAGAATGGAGAATGAAAAGGAGGGAAATGGTAGAGCCAGAGACTTAGGGTGAAGAGAAAGAAATAAAAATGGATTTGTGACCCTAATTCTATGCCATTGAAATCCATTAGGTTAAGACTTTACAACTATGTACAATGTAAAGTGTATCCCAAGAGAATATCTGTAGTTTTTCACTTTGGACAGAGTCAAGCTGGCCATTTTCCCCAAATTCCAGTCTTTATGCTGAGCTAATTTCCCACCTGATACGGCTCTGCACAGACTACAGTTCGATAATCTTCTCATTTCATTCTCAGAAAGAAAGCAAATATAAAACAAAATGAAATTGTATTTTAATGCAAATTCAAGACTTCCTACAACTACTTCAAAGAAAACGCCTTCAAAGAAAGATAACCAGGATGGCTTATTTCAGCTTAGTTAAGTCTCTTAACAGGACAGACACTGTTCTTATTCAAAATTTCTACTATTTGTATCACTTCTCTGTGCAAGATGGAACTGATGACACACTGCAAGCTACTCTCATGAATAAATACTGTGTGTATGTTATGCACATGATTATGAACAGATTTTTCTATTCTGGCAGATCTAAAAAGGTGTAAAACAGCAAATTTAGTATTGGCCTTTCATAGCATTGCTTTACCTTGGCCACTTTGATGATGTCAGGTATGTGCAGGTATGCTGCAACAGGTGGCAGGCCTTTTCCAATTAGGTAAGCCTCGTCTGCCTTCTGCCTGTGAAGACAAAGGCTTGAATATAAGGGGGACGGAAGGGAGACAGCAAAAACATACAGAACACACAGAACACACAGATGGGCACCAGTTCTCAAGCACACAACCATTATGGCTTCATGGCGGCACATCCAAGCTCAGTAAAGAGTAGGCACCAGTATTTACTCAAATAAAGCCTACTTATTCAGATTAGTGCTCCAATCAGCCTTCAGGATAGAAAGAACCAGGTGGAAGCACAATCACATAACAAGATCTATTAGTCAGTGAAAGATATTTTAGAAAACAGTCAGAGAATAGAAAATGCTCACAGTGAGGCAAATTAGGACGTTTGTGTATGTAAACTAAGCAACGTGATTACCTGAATGTTTGTTATGTCAATACGATTATACTTATGTCCCTACTTAATAACAACTCCAAACAAAGAACTGGCCCAAAGCGGAGAGGAGAAAAATGCTCCCCAGCTTCTTTTAATTGCTGTTGGCTCTAATCAACAGTTAGCATTTTATGGTCGATACCCAGCAGTGGCAGCCCAGCAGTTTATTAAGACATCTGTCGGTTACGCTTTCTTTATTTTAAACCTGTGTGGACCCATTCGGCTCTAATGTAGCAGAGATTAGTACCTGTGCATTTGTCCAGTGTCTTGCTCAGAGTAGACGGCCACGGTTCGAATCCCCAGTTCAGTACAGGCTCTGAACACACGGATAGCAATCTCACCTGTAAGGAGAGGGAAAAGGATGTGGTTATTTTGCTAATTGTCAGTGTTCTGCTTTGCTACATTTTTATTATAGTTGATCCATAGTTTAGCAGATTGTAAGTAGTGGGAGGTCTTAGTTCTCTATTTTTCATAAGCATACACTTTTTTATCAACATCCTGTAGCATTGACCCTATTTTGCGACAAACTCTTCCACTGAGAGAATAAAATACACTTTGAATTTTTTATGCCACACATGAGTAGTGAAAACAAGACAAGTCTATCTGGTATACTTCATCACGCCGTGCAAAAATATCCACAGAAACTGCAACAAGTCTACCGTTTTTTTCTAAAGTCTTAGAACACAGTGTAAAATCTCAGCTTTAGACAACCAAAACACTGCCTGCCTTTAATCTTGCTGTCACTAGAGCCAGATACTTGTTTTTCAAGCACATTTTGGGGGAGGAAAAAACTTTAGTCAGTGAAAGCCAGCAAGATGTGTTGTTGTTGCTTGAAGGGGAGGACAGCGTTCAAACATTTGAGGAGCTATGAAAAAAAGAGAAAGAGAAGAAGTGAGCAAGAAAGAGAGTGAGTTCTGAAGAAGGATGAGAGTAGGAACATAAAAAAGGATGAGAATGTGAGAAAGGACAGAAAGGGGAGAGGATGAGATGGTTTGGGAAGCCAGATAGATGTAGTGTAATGGATTTAAGGTCAGAAGAGAGAATGAGAGGTCAGAAAGTTTAGAAAAGAACAAAGAGAAAAGGGACATAACACAGAGGACCTGAGAAACACAGTTTGGCAAGTCTAGCCAAATGACAAATAAGTGGAGACGAGACAAGAAAATCAGTGGAGGGGGGAAAAAAAGAGGGAAATGAAGTAAGGAATGAAAAGAGGTGAGTGGAAAGGAACAAAGTCACATGGGGCAAAAAGGAAGAGACCAAGTGGCTCAAAGGAAAATCACATCTGACAAGTGCTGAAAAAGACAGGGAGTGCAAAGGGAGGAGAGGAGAGCTGAGAGGAGAGCAGAGAGGAAAGGAAAGGAGAATATTAGTGAAAAAGCAGAGAAGCAATGGCAAAGAGGAGATGTGCTTGGCGAAGTGGAATCTGGGCTGATATGATACGATGGTCCGTCTCCCTCTTCATCTCTCTCACACACACACACACGCAGAAGCCGAGCATGGTCCGGTGCACTTCAGCGTGATGAATGTGATCTAATGCGGTGTTGATATCAGGTCACACCAATGCGAAGGAGAGAGATTGACGGAAAGCCTTGCTCTGTGTGTGTGTGTGTGTGTGAGAACGCATGGCAAAGACCACAATCTATTTGAATCAAATTGATGGATTAAAGCAGTTAAATAGAGCCTTTAAGGAAGGGACCACATGAATGTATGCATGCATATGCTCAGTGCAGACTTATGTGCAGCAAGAGACCTACAGAGCACGACAGGTCTAGCATTGGAATCAATCAACCAATGCAGCGATCAATCTGAAATGATCAAACACGGAACCAAATCAAGCATTTTAAATGTGGCTGCAGGAAGGAATATAATGGGAGGCTCTAAAAAGCAATTAGAACAAAAAGCATGAATACATTCATTTGTCACTCAAATCCTGCATGTCACCTGACAGAGTCAAACTAATAGCACACACTGAGGGCCTCTCTGGACAGCATTAGCATTAACAGAAGGGGGTCCCAGGAATTATAAGTATTACCAGAGCACATCAGTGATGTTTACACCATACTGGTGACTCCATGGTGTTTAGAAAACTCTGCGCTGCTCTATAATTATATTTCTATTCAGATCTCAATCCCAGTGACATAGGCTCTACTTATGGTGATTTATAGCAGCTTAGAAAGAAAGGAAAAAATAAATACTTTTGTATTGGTGGGTCCAATTTGTCTTGCAGACAAAAAGACACTGTATATAACACATCAAAAAACATGTTTCATGTAGGCTCTAGGGAATGTAAAGACCTACATGCTGGATAGCTTTCGCAACGAGTAATATTTAAATAAATACATCTGTACAGCATACAATTCAGAAACAGTTGAATACATACTCTTAAACTCAACTTCCTAGTGTACAATGAGGACAATGGTTGCAGTTCCACCTCTGTTTCCAATATTTTAAGAAGTTCAGTGCTTCTGAATTAAAGCAAACAAAAGCGAGTTTATACAGCCACCCACGTACAATGTGTGCTTAAATATAAGCGTGTGCCAAGGCAAACTAAATGTTGGCCATTAAATATTAAGAGTCTGTTCTTTTGCCTGGGGAAAATCACAATTTTTTTCTTACATTATAAATGAAACAGCATTTCAAATGTATTTAAGTTAATGGTGCTGTCTGAATTGCTTATATTCTTCAGTGGTAATTTTGCACTGTTAGGACTTGGATGGAGTCTTACCTCTATTGGCCACCATGACTTTCTTGATTGGTCGATACTCGCTCTGCGGGGCAGAGTGGGCGAAGCGAGAGATAAGATATGTCCTCCTCACGGCCAAGAGGCCGAGGCCACCTCGGACTACAGCGTACCTCAACATCCTGAGAGAAAAGGAGAGAAAATGCAATGTCATATACAATGTCTAGATACACTTCAAAATTAACCAAACAGAGGTTAAAAGAGGTGACAGAGCCAGACATACTAGACAGACAAAACATCAGGAAAGTCATTAAATTTAGATCAAACAAAACACAAATCCTACCCAAAACCTACAAGTCATACTTTGTTAAAATATCTACACAGTCACCGTTTGCTAAGTGGAGTTTATCAGGTGAAAAAAGACGCTTTGAGGAAAATGATAAGAGGATGATAATGCTTTGAAAATGATTAAACAAGAGGTGTGAGCCCTTTATAGAGAGATTAAATCTACTAAAGCGGCAGGCCCTATTAAGTTATTGCCGAGGGTTGTATGTGCCTCTCAACTTGTGCGATATTTTCTCTGAGAATTTTAATTGGTGTTGGACTGATATTTAGCAGGAATCTTGGATTTTTCCAGCGCTGCAAGAAGAAGAAGCTGTATTATGTATGAATAATGAGACGTGTAGCCATGACTTCTGTTGCTTTGAAAGTTTGCAAAAAGACTGTTCAAAATCCATCTGTGGATAAGCAATGTGTCAGTGCCTATATGATGGTTGGGAGTATTGAAGAGGTTATTCTATTTAAGTTAGAAAAAAATATCACATCTCGAGGCCATTATAGTGGCCTCCCTATTCAAGCTCAATCACATTAGGAGTCTGAAGCTATTAGATATACATATGACCAATCTGTGGGAAGAAAGGATGGCAGCCAATTTTCATACTAAACTAAATGTGCCAATTATCTCATAATAATGGGGATATTATGAAGTGGTATTTAATAACAGAAAAACCACAAAGACTGTCTACAAATTCAAAACACATTCATACAGCATGATGACGCTTCAGAATCAGTCAAGTATGGATCTATGTACTACTTTACTGATAAAAAGTGTACAGAAAGGTCTGGCTGGTATGAGGCTGAGAACCATACAACTTCTTCCAAGACAGAGGTATCAGATTTCCATAAAAGGAAGGTGCAAGTTAGATCAGCTGCTGCTCTTCTTACAGACCACCAATCAGTGGCAGCTGTTTCTAATTAAAGACAAGGAGTTACTGGTGTGTTCGTGGTGCCTTTACTTCCAATTAAAACAGTCCGAAATATCAGATACAAATCATACAAACTATGACAGAACCATGCAGACTGCCCCCATTAGAGCCATTCACAGATTTAATTGTAGGTAAGACACAAGCTCCTGATATTTATCTTTCAACTGAAAACCAGTTTTGTCCACCAGCACAGCAACTCGAGTGGCAAAAACTCTGTACATGAATCCATGCTGAATACAGAACAACAAGATACTCCAACATCTTAAACTCATTGCTGAGCTAGGTTTGTTTTGCTGTGCTTCCTCAGTGCCCACTGCACTTGATTTAGGACTACATTCAAGAGAAACCATTCATTACATCCAAAACTGACATTATGGTTTCATGGCTACATTTCCAATCAATAGGCCCCTAAACACACAATTACTCAAATGAAGCACCCCATTACCAAATATATATACAGACACACTTACCCACAACCACATGTAAATGGCACAGGTACACAAAGGCATACACTGACACACACACTGAAGATGCAAACAGTCAACAACTTCCTCAACAAGAAGGCACTCAGTCACTGTGGGGAGACTGGCACACTGGTTGCAAAACTGGAAGCTTCTTCTTCTGGTCGGACTACAGGGATACACCTCAGTGACAGTGCTTTGCTGCCACACTGTGGTCAAACAACAGTGATGCAGTCAATAATCTGATAAAAGTGCCACAACAACAAAGCCAATGTCCTAAACTATCACATAACATTAAAGATTAACCCAAAGAGCCTAAAATCACTATGAGTGCTGGCATCTTCTCCAAACATTTAACTTTTCATGGTAACAGTGACCCAGGCACAAAGCTAAGCTACAAGAACTCTCGTCATGCACAATCACTTCCTGTGGTTACAGGGTTTCACTTAAAAGTGAATTATCACATATGTGCTATATAGATTTAATGATAACTGGCTGCGGTGTACAGTGCAAACAGTCACTTTACCAAACCATTACAATGATATACATGATGGCATATAAAGATAAGTAACAGCATAGCTTAATTCATCTGTGTCATGTAGATAGTACTACTTTATTCGATGCATGAGGGGATAGTCTTCAGCCTAACCCACTTGATACTATGCATTTGGCGAGACGCAGAGTAACACTGGACAAGGGATTGGATCTTATCTCTAATTAAAATGAACTAAACAAATGACACAAATAGAACTAATTTAGTTACATAAACCTAAACAAACGTCTCCCCTAGCTGGAACAGAATATGGCCAGACTGCTGAGAGACTAGGTCACACAGATTGGACAGTATAAAGCAAACAGGGAAAAGATTTCTATTTTATTTTTTTAACTAAATCTCCTTCACAACTTCTTTAGGTTGTCTTTATGTGTGACTTCCTACCTTGGTAACTGACTGAATGATGGTAACTGACTTCATTAGCTATGAAAAAACAACTTAAGAACCAATGAATAAAAGCTTTGATACTGTGAATGAAGGCCTTGAGACTGTATGCAGTGGAAGCTCAGGCTGAAACTGTATACTGGATCTACACAAAAGCAACAGCGTCACACTGTGAAACAGATACAGTTTCCTGAGAACTGAATACGACAGGGACACAACAGCGAACCAGAGAGGAACAGGACAAATGAACTAGGCAGACAGGCAAAAACAGGTCAAACATTATCTGCCTGCCTTAACCTCACCTCTCCCATACAATCTTACCACAGAAGTACCTTTATTATAAACTAGGGTTGGGTGATATGGTCTCTGATAAGAACAATACATATACTGTATTAGCAATGTGGCTATGAGGCCAGGCAGTCAGAGCTAATTCCTCTGAGATTTAACAGTCAAGTGACTTTAAAATCTGTAGCACAGCCTTAAAGCCCCAATAAAGACAACATTTAAACTACGTCTATAATAATGATAGTTAGTTTAAGCTGTGGCCTGTTATCTAAAATGCTCTTTGATCTCCCAAAAGCTGGCAATCTACAGTGGCGTGAAGTAGTGAAATATCGTAAACAGCTGATCTATACAATAAAATGCCCTCAAAGCATAATCTGTCATTCTGTCATTCTAAAAAAGGTCTCTCTTTTTTGATACCACTATTCAACAGTTTTGCAGTGTAGCTCCGTACCGTACCGTCTCCCTGCACTGACGGATGGAGCCAACAATAAAATGTGCCAAGGCAAGTGGTTCAGCGGTAGCATCACACGCATTGCCAAAACGCAATGAGGCAAGCTCAAGGTTAACTTGTGGTATGAAAGGAATGTCAAACGGTGAGGACACTCAAGCTGTGGCAGTACAACTTGAGGGTAGTTTTGGTTTCACGCCTCAATGTCATATTGCCGGTTTGTCTTCTTTTCTGCCTCAAAGATAAACCTATTGTTTATCAGGATTTAGCCTGTGAAATAAAGGACAGAAGAAAACTGAGAAAGGAAGGGAATATTTTTTATTTTGTTTGTTGGCACTAGTTTTTATGTGCTAACCTTCTCCCACAGTTTGACAGCTGACAGAATACTGAAGGCGTGCATTTTGAAAATGTCTGGTAAATTTTATTCTAGACCACAAGCAACTGGTGAAGATAAAAACAAAAAATCTTGTGGCCTGTAGTGATTTTCTCACTGTTACAGTTCATACGGATGATGTGAAACAGGTGAACACTAAAATTTCTCAACAAAAAAATAACAAAACACAAAAATACACACCTATTTTGGCCTTCAAAAGATGTTGCTCATTTTGGCACATGGGGATTCAAAGTAGAAAACATTTGTCCATTCTGGGGCCTGATTCATAGTTTAACAAACACACAGAGGACACACTGACTTCTAACATACTTGTTATCTTTTAGGCACTAGCAAGTAGAGTTGGGCGATTGGACGAATATATCGGCTATAGGCGATTGTCTGAGGCTATCATCAGTTGGGGGTTTTTTCTGGCCAATCTTTGTTCTTTTATTTAGCTAATTTAATGGTCTGCCTCCAGAGAATGCTCAGTGTCAGACTCTCATTCAAGCAAGCTAACCCAGTGGCACATTCCAGCAACAGAGAGAGGCAGAGGGGACAAACGGTGTTTACAGCCAGAATATATTTACATCCAACTCTGTGAATTCAGGATTTATTTGGAAGTTAACCCCTAACCCCCAAACTAGAGTTGTTTATTGTTAGAACAGTAGAAAGACTAACCGTTTTGGTGAGTTTTATTTTGTTTCTCTCCCTGTTTTAATCAAGTGTCCTTTATGATGACTTAACAAGACAATTAACCTAGTATGGTAGTACTTTTCTGTTTAATGAGGAAATTGGATGTAAGAATATTCCCTTGTGGAACGTAGTCAACGACATATTGCCCAACTCTAGTTGTGAGCTGTGTGCAAGCAATTAGTATTTTTCCTTACCATTACCTATTGGATAGTGGATGGTGAATTAAGCTACGTCAGGACAGTTTAAGATGCCATACAACGTAGCAAAACTAGACCAAACTCTCACAGTCCTTATACTCTGAGATAATGGAGATTAAAGGTGGGGTCAGTCATTCTGGAGAAAGATAGTTGATTGTTGAGTCTCACTCCTAGGCCCCTGGGAGCACAAATGCCACCTGTTGTGTTGTGTTGTGTGGCTCGTTCCATGCCACTGTGTTTGTTTCCCCATTTACCATAACCCAAAGCACCGACATATGACGTTGTGAGAATGAGACTCGACAATCAACTATCTTTCTCCAGAGTGACTGACCCCACCTTTAAGTCATGGTCCACTTCCAGCGTCATGCCTTTTCAAAATCAAACATTACTTGAGTGAAAATGCAATAAAATGTAAACTGAATGCCATGTGGCTCTGCCTGATACAGCAGGAATGTGTGTTATCATGCATGTTACAACACTGTAACACCACAACATTCAGTCTCAGTCTTCAGTCAAATAGGAG